AAAGCGGAATCTGGGCAACCCAAAGCCATAACGAGGATAACCTCAATCGGGCTTATGAAGTGAGTGGCTTTATTAATTGGTCTAATTTCTGCCTTGTCTCTAGTTGGGAAGCGATTACGAGAGCGGCTTACACTGACTGCTATATTTCAGAGTGCCTTCAATGTTTATTTAATCTTCTCCGCCAACAAGTCCGGAGAGTACTATGGATATGCTCGCATGATGTCGCCGATCAAGGAAGATGAAAGCCTAGCTATGGAGATGCCGATGCGACCTGACCATGGCCCTCCTGAGCCGGAGGAGTTGCACGTGATCCCGACTCAGGCCACAGCCACCGCGCCAACCGGACGAATCATAGATGACTCTGCACGAGGAACCATATTCTGGGAAGCGGATTCGTCCGAGGAGGATGATGATGAAGATGATGGTGACGAAGATAGTGGCGAGAGGAAGGAGGAGGGGGAGGGGGAGGAAAGCAGTGATGAGGACGAGATTGGTTTTGGGAGCGAAAAGAACGCTGCTGAATTAGTCGAAGAGACTGCCGAGTCGGGATTCCAATCGATAGGAAGACCGTTCCGGGTCCAATGGCTTTCGACAGAGCGGGTTCCGTTCCATCGCACCCGAGGTCTTCGCAATCCCTGGAATGCGAACCGCGAAGTGAAGATTGCCCGGGATGGCACTGAAATCGAGCCGAGTGTCGGCGAGAGGCTGATTCGGTTATTCCACACGCAACACCCAAGCCACGGGTTTCCGGTGTATCACACTTCGCTACCCAACTAAACAGAGCGAGTGTTTGCAACCACTTCCCGGTCTTTTTGGGAGAGTCGGGTCGCATCGCAGCCTCACTTGTTGCATACAAGATCGAGATGCATGACCGTGAGCTCCTGCTTGTGAAGCAATAGGACTGGCGTACCGCGTACGACGCACACGAATTTTAAAACATAGAACACGATGACGAAATAGACAGAACTAGCATGTATATGATATAAAAACGAGTTCTCCACTTTTGCATGCTTGATCGCTTGGCTTGGGAGGTCGTAAGTTGGGAACGTTATATTCATAGGATTATCAAGCATTACTTAGGCACCTAGTCCAGCAGTTCACAGTGCACCTTAGCCATGTAATTATTATTGCAGGGAGCAAACTGACACTTCTTCTTAGGAAAGCTCAGTAGTACATAACTAGATAGATACTGTACAGTGTTGCTGTGGCAGTGTCTTAGATAGGAAGACTATGTAGGTAGTCTTAGTAGCACTATGTAGGACATGATAGCTGTCACAAAAGTCAATCATGCAGCAAGTAGGTTCAATTGGTACTACCTATGGTTACTCTGTAAGGTAAAGGTAAGCTTTAGAACTGGATGATGGATGATGATTGATGATTGATGATTGATTGATTAGGCGAAACCTCGTGACTATGTCTTACTGCGGTAGCCCAAAAGGTAGAAGCTTCTCAGGCTAAGCCAGAAGCAGCAGTAGTGCTAGCTAGGGTGGATCCATGAGTCTCCTCCCCATGATGATGACGATGATGTTGATTGATCCCATAATGGAGTGAGGGGTGTGTTAGGCTCTATATGTGCCATCTCCTAGGTTGCCTCAGGATGATGTTCATTCTATAAAAATATCTATTTTTCTGAAGGAACAGCCAGCTAGTTGGTCTGGATTGATTATGCAGACTCCCTAGTCTTGAGAAGGAATAGTCGGACGGACCCCAGATTCTCTCGCTGCGGATGTCCACTTGTTCAGTTGGCTAGACCAAATCCGTCCCACGGTCAGGGCCCATGGAGGAGGAGGGGGATGATGATATTGATTGATCAATAGGAAGTCTTATGTCCGACTGTCATAGGCTTTCTTCTCATGGATATTATATCATCATCACCCATGGATCTTCGCATTTGGGTGAGTTCCATTTTACACTTACTGATATGGGAATAGTAATGGGATGTGGGATCTGTGTGGGGTAGAAAAAGAGGATAAGGTCACTGCTCTGTAAGTCGTAACTCGTAGTAAGGTCTCCCTAGCTCCCTAGGATCAATAATTTATAGCACTCTCATTACCTTCATTTCTTCCCCTTCCGCTCTCCCTATTCTAATAATCTGCATCTTCAACAGCAACAACAACAACAACAACAACAACAACAACAACAGCAGCACAGCCCCATTTTCCATCCTTATCATCATCTTCATTCATTCTTCATCTATTCCTTGACAGAGTCCTTGTCAGAGTCCTTGTATGTCATTCCCTCATTGTCGTCTTCAACCTGGCTTCGCTTCATCGCTGTTGCTTGATTGAATTCACCCCGCAAATCCTGTCCGTCTACACAGCTTCCGATCACATATTCTGTCACCATTTATTTCACTTAGCTAAGCTACAGACAAGCTTCACTCCCACACTTAAGCTTCCTGTCTCCTTCTTGTGCCCCAATCTCTCCATGAAGGATTGAGGGGATCCCTCTTTCTCAATCCCCTAAATCAACCCAGTGAGTTGGTTGGGACACATCAGACTGTTAATGAGTCGACACTCTCTTCCTCTCTTCCTCTTGGCTACTCCTTGGGCCGCTTTGAGTGTCCATTGTGTTTTTTGCCGCTCTCACACATATTTATTTGATCACATACCCACTGCTGATATGGCCTGATCTCTCACATTCATCTGCTGATCCATGTACTCTGGAAGCATCCTACTAATTTCCTTTGCATAGAATCTGCCGACCCCCCTAATCCTTTTATTGCCCTCTCGACCTCGCTTCCTCGTGTCCCGTCTCTATCTCTCCTCTCCCTTGACTGTTGGTTGCCCGGTTGACGTCACATGCTTGTGACGGTGAAACATTACGGATCACCATCTATTCGACAACTGGCGATAACGTTCCTCAGCCTATTTATTCTGTTTGCTCTTTCTTTCCAGCACCAACAGCAGCAACGGCGCTCCAGCTGTTCGGGTTCTCAGCCTATTTACTCTTGATTAATACACCCCATAGCCATCTCATTGCACCATTTACTCAGAAAGAAACTCTTGTAACAACCTAATCTTCGTGCATTTGTCAGTGCATCCTTTTTCTTTTCTATCACGAATTCTTTTTCAGTGATCTACCATGTCAAACGATCGATCTACATCTCCAATTTCTGTACCATCCTCATCTGCCCATCAACGGCGGCCGTCCCTATCGTCGGGTTTCTCCTTCACCGATTATCTCTCCAGGTCGAGCAATCAAGGGGCTCCGCCTGGCGGCCACACTAGTCACATGGCTAGCGCTGTAAACAATGTCCAGCCAAATCAACGACGCAGGCTATCAATCAGTACGCTTGGGCTTTCCGGTTCGCCTACCCAAACTTCACCTTTTGGGGTCAGAAATCCTCGTCATGGCAGCTTGTCCAGTTCCGTGGGGTCAACTTCAAACGCCGATGAGGCCGTCATGGATGATACGGACAACGGCTCTTCCAGCGTTCCTCCCAGCTCGCCGTTTGCACGACGTCTCTCCTTTGGTGCGCAGGCCATGCGAGATGTTCGTGGTGGAAGTATAGGCAATGGTAGATACCCCTCTCCTAGGTCTTCTGTGGCTGGAGGGCGCCGGACCACGACGACCACCAGTCCTGCATCTGCCAATAGTCCCCCTGGATTAGTTGTTGCAAGTACAAATAAAAGCTTTCCTCAGAACGATATGTCTAACAAATCGTGGCGACCCTTAGGCGAAGGCTTCAACTGGTCGGAAGCTCTCCGAACACGGGCCGAGCGTGCCCCATCCATTGGAGGCATCTCCTCAGTCGCGGGTCAGAGCCAGCAACATGTGGCCAGTTCGGAGCACCAACGCTATCATCAGAGAGCCGCTTCCATTGCTTCAATGGAGCGACCTGCTCGAGAGATACCAAAACAACCAAAGCAGAACAAGCCTGACTTCTTCCAAGAGAAGATTCTCCGGGGAGATTTTATGGACTAGGCTTTGTCTTTCTTTGTACTTGCTCTCCTTCCCTCCCCCCTTCTCTCCTTGAACAAATCAATTGACACAATGCTGTCATGATGTGTGTCTTCCCATTGTTCGAAAAGAACTATTATATGTCACCCTTCAGAACAAGAGGGAGCAAATTTACATCTCTCTGTCTGAACCATCACGAGGAGTCAGCATGAAAGCACGTTGATGAACAACATTAAAAAAAAAAAAAAACATGCTTTCATTTGGCTCATTTCATCTATGATTGCATACCTGACACCATGCATCCCAAGAAGGACCTGATCGATCGTCGGAGTCATCAAGTATATCCTGTATACCTCCAGGTGGTCTATCTGGTCATTCAAATCCTCTTTGTTCCTTCCCACCGTGTTCATTTTGTCAGATTTACATGATGTCATATTCTACTTTCATTTCCGGTTTTCTGCAGGCATGAAACGAAAGCACTTTGACGGACTGTTTTGTTCTTGCTTTTACTCTTCTATTGGCGTGAAGTTCCAGTCATTCGGAGACTGCTGGCAGACCGATTGAGTATTGTTGAGATGATCTGATGCTACTTCCTTTCGCTAAATGTGTATTGAGACCGATCTTCGACCGCAAGGGGCTAGGAGCATTGTTGAAAGTGTCTGCCCTGTCTCACCTTTTCGGCGTTTTTCAAGCTCCGTCATGCCTCGAATCCTTATGTAGCCTGTCCTTTTTCTATCTAATGAGAAATTATTAAAATTGATTTTGAGAAAAGCTTGCGCCGAGCTTGGATTACAGAGCCCATTGTCACGTAAATTAACTCCGTAAATTACTTTGACACTTCGGCTCTTGAGGGATAAATCGTCTTTAACGATGCGCCAGATTGATGTCTGATCCGTTAATAGCTGGCAAAGGCAACTAACTTATCACGCTGTCGGATACCGCCCAAAATATACAGTAGAGGAAATTAGTTCCCCAATAAGGGAGGACCCTTTCGGCCCTGATCAGCCCCAAGAGAGCAAACTCGTGATCGTGAGAGCGAAGAATTCACTATGTAAGGCACTGCTTGTATCATAGGTGTCCTTCAGGCCAGATCATGTTCAAGCTGACGATGGGCCAGCAGCATTATCATCGATATGCTGGTGGTGCCCCCAGCCATTATCAGCGTCTCGTTTGCCCGAACCTTCGGCCCGGCTAATACCCTCTGCTGTCCTCCGGTCCAGAACATGCCCCGTGGTAATGCGGTGCTCCGCAGGTGGAGGTACCCATTTGCTGCTTTTCCATGGGGGAACACGCATAACATACATCATGTCCATCTCCTCCAGAGTTTTGCCCTTGCCCTCCAACACGCAGAAGTAGACGATCAGGACCCCAGCAAACAGGCATCCCGCGAAGACGTAACCGTACGCAAAGTCAATATCACCGGTAATGAACGGAGTGAAGAAGCCAATGAGGAAATTCCAAAGCCAGTTCGAAGCCGTGGCCAATGCCATAGCCCTCGCGCGATACCGCGATGGATAGAGCTCAGCGACTATCGCCCACACCATAGGGCCCCATGTCATGGCGAACCCCTTTTTCGGATTCAGATTCGATATCAGTATCAGCTAGCTGATTCAAACAAGGTATCACGGACATTTGAGGGGGAGACGAGAAGGTTCTTACGTGATAAACAAACATGCGAACACCACCATTGCTTTCCCGGCACCAGGCGTCTGAGGAGGATTGTGGACGTTTAAGGAGAAATGTCCGACAGAGGCAAAGACCATAAAGCAGACGAACATCCACATGCCCCCGGTGATGAGTGACTTGCGGCGCCCAAAGTGCTCGATGACATACAGACCTCCAAATGTCGTGCCGAAATTGACACCGCCAAGGATCATCTGCGTGGCATAGGTGTTTTTAATACCGGCTCCATTGAACACAACAGTGCCGTAGTAGAAGAAGTAATTAGCACCGGTCAGCTGCTGTAAAGCTTGTAGCACGATACCAAGGAAGATCCGGTACGGCATACGAGGTCCTTGAAACATCTCGATCCAGCCATGCCATCCCCCTTTAGACGCACTTTCTGCCTCGAGCTGATCCTTGACTTCGCTGAGCTCCTCCAAAATCACACGATGATTTTGGGGCACCCCGTAGAGCTTTGACATGGTTCTTTTCGCTCGGTCGATGCGGCCATGGCGATAATCATAGCGCGGGCTCTCCGGGAAGAACATGATCCCTATCCCTAGTATTAAGCCCCAGAGAAATGTGATTCCAAGAGTGATACGCCACGAGCCGGAGTTGGCCATTGATTCAGTGCCGAAATTGATGCAGTATGCGACAAAGATCCCCAATGTCACGAATAATTGATACGAGCTGCGGAACTCGACGTCAGACGCTGCGAGTGCATAGCCAGATTGGAGAATAGCAAGATTCCTACCAAACCATTGCCCCACGAACCTGTCGAGGGGCACTCTCGCCTTGATACATCGGAACCAACAAAGAACATGCCCCAACACCGAAACCGGAGACAAAACGGCCCATCATTAATTAGTACCATTTTGGCGCCGGAGAGGATATCTGTATGATCAGCCCGACCTGGAGAATGCCGCACCAAAACGCAATCGACCATTTACGGCCGACTCGATCTGCCAGTGGACCAGCCAGTAAGGCCCCTAGCAGGGTCCCAATGGACAGCTATCGACATGCTTGTCGTCAGAAATTCTCCGCACTCGCACATCTTTAGACTTGTCCAAGAGTGGCTGATGGGTACGCACCAGAGAAACGATGAGGCCGGACCGCACGTTGCTGAAGGCGTATGTTCCGTCGTCTCACAGCTGACCAAATCTGCGCTTGAAATTATCCATCTCAAGGAATCCTGAAATCTGGCCGGTGTCATAGCCGAATATAATGCCGCCAACAGACACAAATGCGCCAAGTAACAATGAACGCCAGGTGAGGAAAGGAACATGGCTATCAATCACATCAAGTCTTTCTTTCTCCGAGTGCATCGGGCCCGATGACTGGTCAGATTGAGATGAGACATTGTTGGGACCGCGCAGTCGAAGCTTATGCGCTAAGAACTTCATCTCTAGAGACAAGAAAGACTAGTGGAAGATTCAAGAATGCGGTTGTAGACAGCGGCCAATGGTTTCAACCTGAACCATGATATCCCCCCGGCCAGCACCGGAACTTCTTCCAATATATACAGAAAGAGGCTGCCGTACCGGATGTAGAAGACCGGCTGAGATCATCTACAGCAACCCCATAGCATGGCAAAGTAATGATAGGTCTCGTTGGCCATCCCGGGCACGTAGCTTGCCCCCTGGGGATCCCACGGCACTGGAGGTCAATGACAGCATGACCAGAGAGGACATGAAGAGGATTCATTCTCATCCGAGAAGCTTGTATGCGCCCGTTTGGTCCCTCGTCGTTTTTCGTTCTTCTAGCTGTTCCTCGCTCAGAGCCCAGGAATTGGCCAACTGACGCGGGAACGGTGAGCAGCACAGCATCCAACCCCATCACATCCGTCTTGACACCGACATCAGAAGGTTGTTTGGAGGCATCCGCCTCAGTTGTGACGTCAACTCCTCGTAATGAAGCCGGGCTCCAGCGGAAAGGTATACTGAGCATGTCTGGTATATGTGAAGTGATGTGGCACAGTGCCGGTCCACAGTCTTTTCCTTGCCCGTCAGTAGCTTTACCATTTTCAGAGCTGTCTTTCAGTTGGGCCCGTACACTCTATTATTGGATCGAACTGAGATGTCTTTCCCTGTCAGCAATCAAAAATCTCATAAACTCTATGTACTTAGGCAAGATGGCCGAGTTGGTCCAAGGCGTGAGGTTAAGGTCTACCTTAATATCAACTTTCTGAGTTCCTCATCATCGTATGATGGCGTGGGTTCGAATCCCACTCTTGTCATTTCTTTTTGCAGGTATCTTTTATCTTCTCCTCCTCCCCTTAACTTATGCATAGAGGAGCAGGTGTAACTTGCCCAGAAGCGACCATTGTGAATCACAATAGTCATCATATAAGGAGCTACGTACAGAGCTGAACTATATGTATAGTGGTGATGACCAAGCAGAACCACACCTAGTTACATCTGTATGCAAGCAAGATCGGGTCATCTATATAAGTCAGCTAGACAGCCATCACTTGTTACACCTTTTGGATCCAAACGAAGACAAAACAAAAATTATATCGAAAAGTGTCAAATATGACAAGAGTGGTATTCGACCACGCCATCATACGACGATGAGGAACGTTTAAAAAGTTGATAATCAGGTAGACCCTAACCTCACGACCATCTTGCCCGTGGAATGCCAACCGTCACTTCAACCGAACTGCACTCCAAGCAAAAAGATATCACTTGATCTTTGCAAGCCAACTCACAACATGACAGACACTATCTACATTTGTTGAGAAGACACTGGCCAGGAAGGCTTCACTAGCTTGACAATGAGGACTATAAGGGTAAATTGAATGAGAGATTCCGTTTGAGATCACGAGAAAAAGTTTCCCCTGAGTATACAGCAAATCAAATGGTATGTAACTGAGAAACAGGAGGCCTGATCAGTAAGGTATTCCGTTTGTCAACAACTGAAACTGATCATATCCCTTTGTTGAAACGCTCATGTAGGACTTGCGGATGAGATCCCGCATGTACTCGGCTGCTTCCCTCTCATTCTTCTCTAGGACAAACCTGTCACGGAAGTTCTTGAGCGTATCAGGTTTGAAGCAGGGCAGGCCGCTATCGAGCATCAAAGACACAATATGAGAGAGCTTGGTGCAAAAGGGACGGGATGCGAGGAATGCCTTTATGACCAGGGATTCAAACCACCGGTACGGCTGTGTAGAAGTGGGGTTGCTGGAGTGCCCTCCGTTTGAGCCGCCGTGTGAATGAATATGTGGATGTGAAGTGCCACTCATGACAGCCACCATCTCGGATGTGAGCTTGAAAGGTGCGCGCTCAAAACGTACACCACCTGGAGCAATGTCAAAGCAGAAGCCGAAGTCAATGTGTATGATATGGCCAGCATCATCGATCATAATGTTACCGTTATGCCGGTCTTTGAACTGCAAAAGGTAAGAGATGACTGAATAAGCAGCCATGCTCTTCACAAAATTCGTTCGCGCTTCCTGGAAACGCGTGGAATGCTCCCCACCGTACTTTGAAATGAAGTAGTCGTAAAGTCCATTTACTGCTTCGCGACCTAGCATATCACGAGAGATGGAGTTGGGAAGAACGTCAATTACTCCGCAGCCAGGGGCCGTTGAAGTCACTCTGTATGGGAATACCCAAACGTCAAGCCCTGCACTGGCAAAGATACTGCGAAAAGCCGCAATCATCTGCAAAGCTAGCATGTCCTGGCGACAGTCATCACCAACCTTGAAGATAGCCGACTGCCAGACCTCGTAGGTCTCTTGGGATGAAGGAGAATGCAGAGGCGCCGACAAAGTCTTCGTCGAGTCATCATGGCTAGAAGTATTCGGGCGGGATGGACCCTGGGAATCCCGTTCATCTCCACGATTCCTTGTCTTTTGAATCCGAAAAGTTGCCATGTATGGAGCCTTCGCGTGGCTCTGTAGTGGTTTACCGGATTTTCGGTCGATTCCAACGACGACGCCATCCGGATTGCTCGGAAGGTATACACCAATCTCGACTTTTATTTTTCGAAGTTCCTCCTCGATCTTTGCCTTCTTTTCGGGTTTACTTTTCTTGATATATGGCCGAAGCTTGCCTGATATACCCGTGATGTCGTTGAAGAAAGAAAACTCCCTTTCATAGAAATCACGTTCCTCGTCGCTGAAGCTAGAAATGAGAGTGTCCATGAAACGGTCAAGTGTCGGCTTGAGCGGGTCAGGCTGTCATTGAATGTTAATCAATAGTCCATACACGAGGTATCAGAACTCACAATCTGAGAATCTTCGTCCTTATAAGAGTTGGCTTTCATGTTCCAAATCACTTGATGGGCAAATAATTGGGATTGTTTGGCTGTCTCAAGGATATAACGCTCTACATAGCCCAGCGCATCGTAACGCAGAGCCTGGACAAGCTGTGGGACGAAGTAGAAACGAACATCTATGGGGTGGCTCTCCAGTGCTCTCATGGCGTACTGTAGAACAAACGGATGATTGCCATATGCTGGTAAGAAATAAGTCAACGCTTCCGTGGGATTGACCGGTGCCCAATATAACAAATACTGGTAAAGTCAGCTTTCTATCTCTCTCTCTCTCTCTCTCTTTTTTTTCTTTTTATGTTCGGTCTTTGATGATTGATTGAAGAGAGGACAAACGGACCTTCAACTGAAAAGAGACGTCCGAGGGCAGTGCTGCACCCAACATAACCTCGAGACTGCTCGGCTCGTCCAAAGCCTTCTCAGGGAAATTGAGCAGTAACCAACGTATATCATTCTTCATCTTCGAGGATGAGTAACGCGACGACAATTGGATCGCTAGCCCTGGACTCTCAGTCCAGGCAAGCCGCAGAAGATGAATAGCTTCCTAAGCAGGCATTAGGTCCCTTCTAAATTAATGCAAGGGCTTGAACTGCTAGCCACTAGCACATAACAAAAACATGATTGACGAACCTCTGCAGAATTCCTGTTTCCAGAAATCTGGAAATGCTTTCGTTCCCCTTCCAAAGGAAATAGCCAGACCCTTAGACGAGACCTCTCATGTTCTATGAGCAGCTGAAGAAGATCGTGCTTGTATTGCAGCGGCTTGAAGTTGCCTCGAGTGGGAGAGGGCACAGTTGAAAGACGACCTAAAGCACGGGCAACATCGTCAAGTATTTGGTCTTCGGCTTTAACCTGCAACCTATTGCCCCCAAAGGACCACCTGATTGAAGCATAGAGTAAGAACTCGTCTCCGGCATTGTGGAAAAGATAGACAAACCTCGGTGGATGCTTGAACCAATTGAGCGCAGCAGACAATATTTGATCGCTGAGCTTCCACAAAGCAACCTTATCTGGTTGATAAGAATCCTGTATAACCCTTAAGCCAAAGAGAACAATACGGAAATGCAACTCTCTAGCCAAGGGATGGCCGCTTGTTTGCAGAAGCCCGACAGTCGTTCTATCAATAAGCCGACCGAATAGCCGGCTGTTCTGGGCGCTGTTCAATCGAACCGCATTGAAATGGCTCTCGAAAAAACGAAGGGCAATAAGATGCGGCGCGAAAGTAGCCTGAGCCTTCTGTTGCTTCTTCAACAATAGAGCTTTGTCACTGGGAAGGAGCTCAATCTTCGCATACATCGGGTCAACGTAGCTAAATAGTCGCAAATTCATCAATACTCCGGATTTGGAATGCGAGGGATAGTATACTCACTCGAAAGAAAGGTCGAACAAACCCCTCCTGCGCTGAATAGTCTCCTCCCAAGCTTCTATTACTTCTGCGAGGATCCTCGGTTCAAGCTTTGGATTTTCATGTATCGCTCCAAGCCACAGTGCAACACCAACGTTCATCGACTCCTCTGAGAATAGTTGAAACGGCAAAATGACCAGGTAGTGAAGAATTGAGGGCTGAAAGTAGTCTGAGCCACACAAAACAGCAGCAGCTCTTCGCAGTGTATCTCTGAATTCAGAAAGGACAACACCATTTCCCGCCTTGAGCTGATCATGGAGACGATGCAGCATATTCTTGACGTGCTCGCTGGATTCCAGGAGGCCTCGCGCGATCTTTCCACAGTCTTCGCCTATATATCTCCAGGTCAGTTGCAGAGCGTAGTAGACGACGGCGGACACAGACCATTGTTCTCTATGGATCCCTGTTCCAGATATTTGGTCACCAGCAGGTCTGAGGCCCGGTACTGCTGACGGATGGTGTATTGAGCAATAAAGTCGGAGGCAACGTTGACCCTGCTAATCCCGGAGCTCTGAATACATCCTAGAAAATTGTTAGGACATTTAGGCGAGTGCAGAAACAAGAGCTTACCGAGTCGCTGATCGCTTCGGGGAATTGTCGAGCCCATATCGAGCGCGAATGAACGACCCAACAAGATGTGGCTGCCGTCAACGGTGTCGTTTGAAATGGACAGGTATGTCTACCTTCTGGTCAGCCACCAATTCTAAAAGCCTTCCTAAAAGTACTCGCCTGGAGAAGGCCTTTCACATCCAGAGGTGCAATATCTATAACCGCTGCTACCCACGCTTTAGCTCGCTCCAGGAGTGTATTCAGAGTTCTCTTCCTGGCATTATAGTTGTCGGCAAGATCAACCTTCACAATTCCCATCGGCGATGCACAGGAAGCTTTCCACTCGAATTCATCAAGCTCTTCCTCAAGACACGACAGCCACATTACAGTCAGCAATTCAAGAAGAGCGAAAAGGGAATGTTTATCACAGAGAGCCGATGGGCATTCTCTAATGATCTTATCTGCGCACAGCATGGCGACGCTCTGCACTCGTTCTATACGATGACAGCAAGCCATGAAGAATTGAGCCAATTCCTTCGACAAGTATGGAACAGAGAAATTCTCATCATTCGCAGATAGGGTCAGGGACAGGTAGTCGGCGACAACTTTATCTGCAATGGAGCTCATACAATTGGCCATGTCAGCTGTAGTCAAGGCCGGGTCGCGGAAATAACTGAGAACTTTGGTGCAATTTCCCGACGACGCACGGAGGCTCTCAACTAACAAAGAAGCGTTGAGAAACACCACTTTTGGATAATTCAGATGTTTAATCCCTGATTCGCAATCAGGAAGCTCGGCCATTAGAATTCTCTTGAGCTCTATCAACCGTTGGGGGCTCATTCCGCGTCTGAGGATTGTGTTAAGCTCCACGTCACTCTCGAGCATCTCCATGCGACTCTCGGCAATCAGGGGCGGAGAGTGCTTTGCGAGCAAGCGTAATTCTCGAATATGACTTTGAGCAACTACTGACTGAGTCGAGATCCCATGAACAGAGATATTAAACCAAGCATCACGAAACAGAGCGGTGATGTCTTCGTCAAAAATCACATCTGTCTGTTGTGTCCCCGTTTCCTCTTCGTCTGATGAAATGAGGAGAGCTAGAGGTCTGAGGAGAAAACTTATAGCCTCTGGTGCTAGAATAACCTCCTTTTGTCGCTCACCTTCACCTATTGCATCACCTTTATTCACAATACATTCCAGGAGATGAATTAAATAGACACGAAAAAGCGGGGAATCCCTTCTCAGCGCGAGAGATATGTATGTCATTGCGCCCTTGACTGCGTTCATGACATCACAAAGATTCCGGGTGATACCGTCTTGATAAGCACGGTCATAGAATTTGAGCAGGAGCTGAAACTCTGCCTGTCCTGTGCTCAAAGAAAGCGAGGCAGTTTCTCTAATGATGAGAGAGTCCACTGCAATGTTGACTTTGCCGATCTTTTGTAAAAGCATTGATTGAGCTAGTGCACTGATTTTCTCATCATTAGAGCTGGTTGCAATTGTCACAATAGCACGGAGAATATTTCTGCAGGTTGCATTATCATGGTCACCAATGGCTGAAAGGGAGACCACACTACCATTACCGACTGGTGGTGGAATGGAAGAAACACTGTCGGGATGCCCAGCATTCTCATTTAAGAGCTGTCCATGATAATATTTGTCGGTACCTGAGCCGGGGCTCAAAGCGTTCCCGAGCGAGTAGAGAGTGGTTATGATGGCATCTTGAGACAGAATGCCAAGGACTTGAGCCAGGCACTTTCCAGCAACAGAGCCAGTGTGTTCTCCTAGCACGCACCCTTCGATAATGAACCTCAGAAGAGAGCGGCTTCCAGAGGATGCACTGGCCAGAGACATCCTCGAAATGATAGCTATGCTTTTCAGAGTTGCCGTTGCAAGCTCAAGACTTGCCATTTGATTTGGGTCTGCCAGTGCGTCCTCCAACCAAGATAGAAAGGCCCCGCTGTTGGCGGCATTTCCACTCAATATGACACAGTTCAGATATCCAATAAGAGCAAACGATTTCACAGAAAAGGTAAGCTGTTTTTGCCAGGGTGAGCCGAGTTGAAGATAATCTGAACCGTCTTCAAGGAGTTGAATTTCGTCAGCAATTATCTCTGTTATACGATCAATGAGGGTGATTTCAGCGTCATCGTTACTCCTGGCAATCCCAACACCATTCATGTAGTCGTCGAGAAGCTCTTCGTCAGACAAACTTTGAGCTCCAACAAGGGAAGTAGCGCACGATTTGACGAAACGCATGAACCCTTGTTGCAGGAGCATAGCACCTAGAGGACGTCTATTTGCAGCATATCGTCGGGTGTACCTTCTCCAGTCCCTCAACGTAGGATCAGCCATGCTCGCATTGCGCACAGTGGACGAGGCGGTCTCAATTGCAACCATGAAGCCTTCAGACAACATGGATCGTACGTGCTCGACAATCTGCAGTTTTTCACTGGCAGACCAAAGCGAGGGAAACTGTGCGGATGCTTCTAAAAATCCAACAAGGGAAACGGCGAGTGATAGTATGCGCTTGTGCTCTTGAACGGCGCCGTAATTGTCGCCTGCAGAATCGTAGCGCTGAAGAGGTGTAATGGCATCAATAGAATCCGCGCAGCTATATAAATACTCGTTGACAGCGCTGAGAGTGGTTGAGCGTAACGCAGGATGATTGGAGCCCAGTGAGAGCAGTGACGATGTCAGCTTACGAGTGAGCGTCTCCCAAGGTGAAGGCTTCATGTTATTCAGGAAGGGCGACGGCCGAAAGCATTGGCTGTGAGACTCGGGAAGGTAGGGGAACAGTTGGGTCGCCAATTTCGAAGCGTGTTCAAATTCGGTAACGGAAGGCGCAGCATCGCATAAAGCGAGAAGTACATCCAATTCTCTAGAATCCTTCAAGAATCAGTTCTGAGTCGTTTGTGTTCAGTCACAAACAAATTTGAAACGCATACCATCGGCAACTGGGAGATCGTGGTCTTATTGTTTACGACACCATCTGGCGAGACGTTCGAACGACTCGATGGGTGCGGACACTGTTGCGAGAGCCGCGTGAGGTCCGACAGGTCATCGCAGCCTGCTTCTGTGACGGATAAAGTTGCAAGTTTGTCCAAGGCACAGCGCCTGATGTTTGTGAAGAAGCTGCTGTAAGATTAGTGTCGCTCATCTTAAAGTTGCAAGTGGTCGATATTTCTTACCAGTCCATTGTGAGAGGTTGCCTCGACTTAGCAACCTACTCTCTGGAAAACAGGTATCATCTAATTTGAGAATAACGAACTTTGGTGTACAGCAGCGGTTGTTGCTTTCGATGGTGTTTGGTGTCAAGTGGCTAGGTACATATACCTTACCTCAAGACAATGTAGTTCCAGGGGAACGATAGGGAGTTGGATACTGGAAGTCTAAATAGGTGAGTACCTAGGTACCTTAGGTTATCTTTGTCAAGTCGTTAGCCCACGCGTAGACGGGAGACACAGATACGTAATTACTGTGTACATACGGAGTTAGTACGTACCTTAGTACCTTACTCCGTACCTGTACAACTCAGGACTCGGCTCTGACGTCTGCAACAATCGAGGTAAAGGTATGAGCATGACAGGTCCGTCAACAACACACATGCATGGGTGAATAGAGAAGCCTGGAGAATAATTCTGATAATAGTAAATGTGCAGGATTGATAGACTACCTAGGGAGAGGGGAAATCATTACTAATGCTGAAAGGGCCATTTTCAGCCTGATAATCCTAATAGAAGTTGAAGAGGTGGTCTGGGAAGCAGAGAAAGGGATCAACCAATCAAGCATACAATCATGATTTGCTACCTTACTATCTATCTATCTTTAGTATGTTAGAAAGGCAGTGAGACACACACTGGGCAAATGCTAAGGGGGAGTAAAGTATCCACCTCATTAGTTTTTGAGAACCTAAGATTCACCTCCCTACTACCAGGTATGCAGGCACCTTTCTCCGAACTCAGTCCTGTAAATCTGTGACTATTCGGTTGTTACCTTACTCTGTATGTACTAGGTAGGTATATTATTATGGAGAAAAGGTACTCCGTACTCCGTACCTTCAGTTTATTTCGCATTTCAGTGGGTCACGTTCACCCTTCCCCAGGTAAGGGTACCAACTACCAAGGTACAAGAGTACGTACCATCCTTTCTACTTACAGATCAGATATACTATATGTGGACAACTTATGTACTCGTCTTGAAGAGACATTGAGTCTGGCATACCGAGGTACTATTGCCGCCTCCAAGCTAATCTGGCGTTCAAAACAAGTCTCCGAGTCTAGACTTGACCGCTCAAGTTAACTGCTCTCTCGGACCCGTGATCCTCACCTTCCGCCTTGAGGAGTTATCGGAGCATTTTCACAAAAAAATCTTCTTTTCAGATGTCAGTCATGCAAAAATGAGATAGGTCTCTACATCTGCGTGACACTGAATCTGTGCATCGCCTTGGATACGCAGACGGTCACTAGCTGGATTCGCCTATCCTTTGTCTTTCAAAGGCTCCCAAGGTGCCAATATTTGAATCAATCTCAGGCCTGTCGAGGCATGCAAACCAATGAATGATGGCACCTCAGAACGAGCAGAGTTCTCTCAAACGTAGCAGGGTATGCATCTTCTGTGCCTTTTCCCCTGGTTCAATGCTAAAAAACAGGGTTCTTCCAGGTCAGCACAGATGGCGATTCACAAGATCTAAAGAAGCCTCGACGCTCCGAGAGAATTACATCTAAGAACCAGTCGCAAGCGACCCCGGTCAACCAAACGTACTTGCCCACCCCGTTGACGGAGCTAGATTCGACTGCTACGGATGTTAGAAATGAAGTCACTGCTACTCCACCGGACAGTCCTAGTCAAGCTCAGTCGAATGTCGAGCAACTCAAGGCGTATTCATCTCCTCCTGGTGACACTCAAGCTCTTTCACAATTTGTTTATCCACCCAGGGCACTTGCCGACGAAGTTGAGGATGAAGCTGTAGAGGGAGTTTGGGGTTATCTGATTCCTCTTGATGACAAAGTCCGAGATGCACTTGTGTTAAGAAAGCGCCATAGCTGCGATGCTCGCAAGAATGGCGACTCAAAGACTCAGGCGAGCAAGGAATCCCAGCACTCCCAAGGCAAGAGTCCAATTAGCAAACAAAGACCTAATCGACCTCCTGGGGGTTATCTGGTCGGTCGTCATCCAGAGTGTGGTAGGTGTTTACAATCGGCTATTGTTCCTTTCCTGAAGATTCTAACGGCATCCAGACCTGGTCATTAATATTCCCACAATATCCAACCGGCATTTCTTAATATTCAGCGAAAACAAGAACGGCGATTCTATCGCAATTGTGGAAGACTTGTCCAGCAATGGCACCTTTGTAAATGATGCCATTATCGGGCGAAACAAGTATCGCGAACTTGAAGACGGCGATGAAATCACTATCCTGGATGAAGCGCGATTTGTTTTTAGATACCCCCGTACGAGAGATACGAATGGTTTTCGCCAACAGTATCGGTTGCTTCAGCAGCTCGGCAAAGGTCATTTTGCAACCGTTTACTTATGTATAGAACGTGCGACTGGCACTCGATATGCCGTGAAAGTGTTTGAGAGACGTCCTGGCGATTCTCAAAAGTCCCAGACTGAGTCCCTGCAGCAAGAGATCGGCCTCTTAATGGGGGTCAATCACCCGAATCTTTTGTGCTTAAAGGACACATTCGACGAAGCCGATGGCGTTTATCTCGTTCTCGAGCTTGCACCTGAAGGCGAGCTCTTCAATCTGATTGTTAGCAAACAAAAATTTTCTGAAGAGGAAACCCGCCATATCTTTGTTCAGCTCTTTGAGGGCTTGAAATACCTGGTAAGATCTTTTCTCATTAGATTGAAATTATGTTGCCTTCAACTATCGATTTTATATATGGGAGGCGAACCCCCGGCGGAAAAAGCGTCTTGAGCTGATTCAAACACAGCATGATCGTGGCATCGTCCATCGAGACATTAAACCCGAGAATATACTTGTAGCAGACAAAAAGCTGACTGTGAAACTTGGTGACTTTGGACTTGCAAAGATCATCGGGGAAGATTCATTCACCACAACTCTGTATGTGCTGCCTTCGAGTTCCCAGCCCGCTTTTCTCCTTTTCCCATTACTGATTCCTTCTGTTCACAGGTGCGGGACACCAAGTTGTAAGTTGATTACCAGCCCGTTGAGGATTTACCAGTTCTGATTTTGTAGATGTCGCTCCAGAGATCTTACAGGAGTCTCGTCGCCGAAGATACACCAAGGCTGTGGATATCTGGTCATTAGGTGTCGTTCTATACATATGCCTTTGCGGATTTCCCCCTTTTTCAGATGAGCTCTACACGCGTGAAAACCCCTTCACATTGGCGCAGCAGATAAAAATGGGGCGATTTGATTATCCATCACCGTATTGGGATTCTGTGGGAGACCCAGCTTTGGACCTGATAGACAGGATGCTTACAGTTGACGTTGAGAAGAGAATCACAGTGGATGAGTGTCTGGAACATCCCTGGCTTACCGGAAAATACACTAGTGTTTCCGATAGCACAGAGGGGCTGACGGGTGCTTTGGGAAAGCTCGACTTCTCGAAACGCAAGGTCGAGCGCGAGCGAACATTGCTCAGCAGTATCAATGATGCTCATTTCAGCGAACACAACGAAGGACCTGGTGCTCCTGTAAAGGTCTTCCACAAGAATAATGCTGGCAAGCGCATGCACAACCAGCCAGCCCATACTATCCAGCAACACGAGGCCTCGCCTGATGAGAATAGCGCCCCCAAGGATTTCGTCAATCTGGGAGAGCGCGGTGACCCAGTGTTGTTTGAGGAAGACCCAACAACCCATTACAAGTGATCGGAGGCCATCTTTATTCTTATCAAAATCGCAGCATTGTTAACGTTGGATGTTGCAAAGGAATGATCGCCCAGTTCAGCCGCCTGACGGTCATGGGACTTTGAAACCTCAAGTACGAGAATAATATCAAAAGCACCGCACAATGACCAGTATCAATATGTTTATTTAAGTTGTACCAGTCGTGTGGTCGCCTGTTGATGCTACCCTCGAATAGGAGGAAATTGGACAATGACTGCCGTACAGCGCGAGCCCTGCCTACCGTCTGAAGTTAGTAGATAAGGTACATCTGACCATCATGCAATACCGTCTCATCTCCGTCTATCCCAGCGAAGCTAAGCTAAAGACAAGATGCAGAGTATTCTGTAGCCATGATTATGCCTTTTTCACAATTTTCGCCTCCTTTTTTTAATTTCATTTTATATTCCTCCCTTTTTTGTGCCTTTCTGTGTGTTTGGGTCCTTGGCAATACGTAGTACTAACATCCAACCATGAGATATCATCGTTCAAACACCCGGCTCCGATGAAGTGGCGTGACTGTTCAGGAACCTTGCCATAAGCTCCTTTGCCAAATTACCAATGGAGGAGGCTAGAAGTGACCTTACAATTACTCCGTAGTCTAATACGGAGTAGCGCAACTAGATCCAGTTAGCCCAGGGGGTTAACGACTTAGTTATGCTTGGTGAAATGGGGGGTGAATAAGAATAATAAGGGATCCATGGGCGGTGACTGGATACTTGCCCAGAAAAAACAAGCCAACCAGCAGTTACCTATCCTTTTCTCCCATCTTCATCCAATCTTCCTCAATTCCTGTACTCTCAATTCGTGTGTCAGTTCGTGTGTTCTGAGGCCTTCCAAAATTCGTCCATTTCTCTTCAAGGATTAGGACGGTGCCTCTAGGCGAGACACTCAGTCTCCCTTCATTCGCTGCAAAAGTTACTCGGTTGATCAGCAGCGATGGGTCTCATCGCAGTTATTCTCGACGGCATCTGCAAGCATTGCTCGACGCAGTCAACGTGGGTGCTTGTGGGGGTCGGACTACTCTCCATCCTCGCTGTAGCTGTCATTGTCAATGTCCTGCAGCAACTTCTGTTCAAAAATCCTCACGAGCCTCCTGTGGTCTTCCACTGGTTCCCCTTTATTGGCAGCACCATCAGTTATGGCATTGATCCGTACAAGTTCTTTTTCGACTGCCGCGCAAAGGTTTGCCCTGACATCTTGTATTGTCGCAGCCCAATTATGTGTCTAGCTAACTTCCTCTACCCGGCAGTATGGCGATGTCTTCACATTCGTTCTCCTCGGCAAGAAGACAACAGTGTATCTTGGTACGAAGGGCAATGACTTCATTCTAAACGG